ACACCTTTTAAACACCTGAATTCCAAATAAGGCAACATTTTAAGGCCCTGGGTGTAAGGATTCTAAAAGATCTTCTAGAGGACACTGTTCAACACGTAATGTCCACACTGCAACCACTCACGTTCGTATCTTTCCCAGGTACAAAATATATTCATCCAACCCCAACATCCTCCAAAGTGTTAACCCTTTTCAGCATCAACTCTAACGCCCAAATTCCATCTAAATATCTTCTAGAGCATTTACAGGTGAGACTCAGTTTCTGGTCCAACCTTCGGGAAAATTCCTATTGTGTCTGTGACCCTGTGAAACCAGAAAATGAGTCACATGCTTCCAAAACATAATGTTAAGATAGACATAGGATAGATTACCATTCAAAAAGGGAGAAATCGAAACAAAGAGGGAGTCTGAGGTCTTGGCCAAATCCAAAACCCAGAAGGAGAATCTCCATTTGATGTGAAGCCTGAGAAAACTCCTCTGTCAAACTGATGCTCTGTTTGTGGGTGCCCTGGCGTGGCAGCCCCAACTTTTTGGACCACGGTGGGGAGAGGCCCTGTTGGCCCAGACCTCTGTATCCACGGACCTATCTTGGAAGACATTCTTCCTTTTCTTTGTGTGGTCCCTGTTGCTTTCAGGCCAGGCTGAAGGCATTTCTGCTGGGAGAACATTCTCAACAGCCTCGTCAGTCTCTGGCAGGCGCCAGATCGCAGACATGAGGGCCCATCACAGATCTCTCCTGCATAAAGGGTCCCTGGCGCTGGCCTAGGATGAGCTGTCGGGTTGCATCTCGAGTCACATGCCTCACCTTTTAAGCAAAGGGTTCACCAGCCCCTCTTGCCTTGATGGTGAGTACAACACGTGGATAAGCTGAGAATTTTCACATCATCTAGTGCTGGTTCCTTTCTGCTTGACAGTTCATCCTTCAAGGTATATTTGATCTCATGCAGTTGACTACGAGCAACAAGAAGAGACCAGGTGGCTCTTCCATAGTTTGGCTGGGAATCTCCTGGAGGAAAAATCCGAGTTCATCAGTGTGCTGGTTTACGCTGAGTCACCCTGGCTACGCGGCAGTACTCGGCTGTGTAGTCACATGATCAGTCTAGATGTTTCTGTGGAAGCATTTTCTTAATGTGATTAACATTTAATCACAGACATTGAACAAAGCAAAATACTTTCCTCAGTGTGGGTGTACTTCATCCAGTCTCTTGAGGGCTTTAAGAGAAAACACCGAGATCCTTCAAGGAAGAAGAAACTCTGCCTCTAGACTGCCTTCAAAATCAAACTGCGACGCACAGCCTTCCCGGGTTTCCAGGCTGCCGCCTGCCCTGCAGATCTCAGACTTGCCAGCCTTCGCACTCGCATGAGCCAGTTCCGTAAAACAAATCTCAATGTCTGTGTTTGTTTGTCTCTCTTTGTCTCTCTGTCACCCTGTGTATGTGTGTTTGTATTATACTGATAGAGAATATAGGTTCTGTTCATCTGGAGAAGTCTGCCTGATGGAGATTTTGGTAATGTGAGTGGTTCCAGAAGAATGATGAGTTTTTGGAACTGATTCTGGTATTTCTGGAACGTATTCGCAGAGCACTAAGCAATCTACAACAAGCAGTAAAGAGGGCACCGATGGCCATGGCATGGTGTGGAAACAGAGACGCACGGACTATCAACAGCGGACGCTATAAATCATACTTACAGGAAGCACGTATTTGACATATTAGCACGTTTTTGTCAAACTAATGAGTATAATTAGATTGGCTGGTTGATCTTAATTTTACTAGATAAGTGAAGAGTAGAAAAGAGGAGCTGAGGAATTCAAAGTCACAGTTCAGATGCTGCACAATCCCCTTAAAATTTCTACGTTGCTTCGGAAAGAAACGCTTATTTCCTGTATCCTCAGGGCTGAGATCACTGAAAAATAAACCAAGTCTCACCCTACCAGTGCCTGAATTACAACGCAAATTAAATTTCCAACCGCATAGGATGTCTGCTGTCAAAGTAGGAAGGAATCACGCCCTCAAAACTGAAAAGGAGTTAAGTGGAAAGAACCTGCCAAAACAGGACATTGAACCCCTAAATTCTGCTGTCTCCTTTACCGGTAGAAGCAGTCGTTCCAACGGGATCTGAGGGACTAGCCCTGCTTTGCCTGAGGAAACTCCAGCGGCCTCCGCTGAGACACTGCCCTGCAGGGCACAGCTGATTCCCTCGGGACACACCACTACCGTTCCTTTTGTTTCTAGACTGATCAGGAGAATCAAGTTTTAGGGAGCTCTGACAGGTGAGGCCCAATGTGTGACCCGTGAGGTGGTGTGCTGTACTCCAGAAGAATGGTATCTTGGACCCATTTATACGGATAGAAATTGAGGAAATACGCATAGGAATGGATATTAAGGGCAGGGGGTAACGGTGGAAGGAACATAAAGTGGAATCCAGCAGAACATACTGCTATGGGCCCACGAAGCAGAGATTCGGGACTAATGTTGTAACTCGGGGGTTAAATAGGGCTCTGTTCAGCAGGTTTGCTCATCCCCTGACCACAAGGTGGCCTACACTAAGTGAAGCTGAAATGCCAGGACTGCCTCTGTGTACCAGAATGGAAGAGCTCCAAAGGCTTAGGGAGCCTGGACTATGAGAGAGCTTTTAGCAGTGAACACCTGCTCTGGCACTGTTGAGGGGCCCTTACACCACGACTGTGCGAAACAAGCTTGGGAGTGGGAGCCCGAGTGTCCTGGAGAGCTCTGTGACTCTTCTCCTCTCCAGGTCAGAAAGTCACAGTGGGAAACGCTGCCTCGACAGTGGGAACCTTAAATGTGATGGCTATAATTGAAGCAAAAAGGCCATGTGGCGGCAATTAATTGCCAAAGGTAACTGCCTGTGGCCAGCATGACCAAGAGTGAAAGCAGCAATCAGAACAGCCGTGCTCACAGAGCCCTGTGGCAGTTCATGCAGCCTGCTGTCCCTAGCGGTGCAGCGGGCGGGAATCCTGCTGGATCTGTAGAAAGGGAAGATGGTACACTCCCGGAGATCTGTAGTATTCGTTTTCCTCCCAGCCTTCCCCAAAGGGACCTATGGATGTTTCCCAAGGTGTTCGTGCATTGAGGGGAAAAATAATCGGGAATGCTGGGGATTACTGGATACTGGGTCTCAGCGCACTCCAGGAGACCCAGAGTGTGACCATGACCCACAGGGACTTGAGGAGCTCAGCTGAACAGTAGAGTTTTAGCTCAGTTCAGTCTCAGAGTGGCTCCAGTGGGCCACTGAACACATCTTGTCATTATTCCCTATGGCGGACTATTCCAGAATGCAGAAGTGGGAGAGACACGCTGAGCAACACGAAGATGTCATGCATTGTTCCCTGAGCAGTGAGTGAGGTCTGTAATGGGGAGGAAGGCCAAGGGAAAGCCAGCAGAAGTGCCTCCTGCTCGTTTTATTCATTATTTTCCTAAAAGTAGTGAAAATAGTGCCACTCTGTTTTCTCTGTCTCCCCTCAATGCTGCACCCGTCTAACCGTCTCACAAAGGAACGCAGAACAGAAGTTACGCTCCTAGTGGAAGACTATTACCCCGTGTGGTCTTGGGTTTAAGGTTTGTTTTTCCTTAAGGTCGGTGTGTTTCAGTGTTGCCTCAGTCAAGTCCAGGGACATAGTATTTACTCCAGACATGTTCATCTGGGTTCAAGCAAAATGTGAAGTATTCAGTGAGCTATGCTGGCTTGAACTCCCCACTCCTTCTCCTCCTCACTGCACATATTTGAAATTTTTAGTTTTCTGCTTTGCAGCAGTTTCTTTCCATTGGGATGATTGGAGTCTTGCCCCATGAATGCTCATGTAGAGCTAGTAGATACTTTAAGGAGAGGTAATGAAGATCATGGGGAATTTCCCTGGTGGTCCTTCATGGATTTCTCTTCTTACCTGCCAGATGTTCTGCCAGCCCCAGAGTCGCATCTCTAAACTGTCACGCAAATGAGACTCTTGCTTTCTCCTTGAGCTCGACCATCCATGTGCCACGTGGACGTGAGTGAGTTGTCTAAGTTCACAAAATAATTAAGTTCAGATCTCACAACTTGACTCCATTCTTTCAGAGTTTAAACACCTTCTATTTTCTCCTTGTTTTCCCTCTCTCATGTAGTCAGTTCAATCATGTGTGTTAGCTTATAATTTTTATTTATAAAATGTTTAGTCCAATATACGCTCTTTTGCTGTTCTGGAAGCCTTAATTTCATGCCCTAATAAATTATTTAATAGTTTGAAACCATTGTAGTTACAGTGAGGAAATAAATAAATAAGTCTCAATGCAGGGTGACAATATTTTCCATATTTGTTATCTGCTTGAAAAGAATTCTCATATTAAGTCATTGTATTTTAAATGATGACAAATATAAATGGCTATATAAATAAAAACATACATATAAAAAATAAAGAAACAATGCATTCAGTGTCAGTGAAGGAACAGGTGAGAATTCTTGAGTTACATTCCTAAAATAAAAGCAATGCTATTGTATGTACCTGAAGATATTATTTAAAACAATGGTGCCTCAAAGCATGTTGAAAAATATTTAATGCCAAGAATACGCTGAAGCTCTTGTACTCACTAGTGTGATCCCATGTGAGTTTTTAAAAATCACTGCTGCCTTAAGCACAAGAAAACACAGATGGTGAAATTAATTCTAAATACACTTTGATCTTCATAGACCCCTAAGTGGAGAAGGTGGTGAAGGTAAGTAAAGGACAGAAGAAGGTGCTAGTGACATGGACTCAGTTATTCACGTGATTCACCGGGTTAAGAACTTCACCTTTTTTTAAGAAGTGCTTAACTTAAAAATTAGTGTTTTGTATCACTGTGGGAGCCCGTCTATTACCGTCCCTAAAACAGGTGTACACGTACATATCAGGGAATGAACTCAAGAAATTATTGTGAAACCACTACCCGGAATTCATGGATTTTGCAAACTTCTATGAACTTTGATATTTACAAAGTGACCTCAGTTAACTAGCATCATGGTAATGCCCTTAAATCAGAGTCACACTTAACAACTGCTAGTGAAGCAGATTTAAAACCCCAAAGAACACAACAGGAGGTCCTTGTACGAACGTACCGGTGGGCGTATCGGACATGCTGCTACTAACCACTGTCATCCTCCCCCTGTGGCTTTCCTCTGCTCACGGACAAAGTAAGTTGAAAACAGAGCTGAACCCTCAGTTTGCTTTTTAAACGTAACTTCATGCTTTATCTACTCTCACGTGTCTCTGTATTTCAATAATAGACCAGTAGGAATTGACTGTATTGTGTCATCTTTACAAACTGTAACCTTAGAGGAAAATTATCTCATACTCTTCCAAGGGAAAAAGGAATTATGCTTTCTCTGGTTTTTGACTTCTACATCAAAAAGACTCTCAACACTGATTACGAAGTGAATGTGCTCACACAACATTAGGAACCTTCTGACTTCAAAATGAATGAAGGGTTCTTATTTTTAATGCAAGGAAGACTTTGGGAGCAATGGGTATCTTTATGGTCTTGCACATGGTGATGGTTTCATGGATTCATAGGGCAAAATTCATTAAATCAAACATTTCAAATATATTCAGTTCACTATGCTAATTATACCTTAATACAACTTAAGTCATTAATATCGTGATCGATTTAATATTTCAGTAAATAATTTTTAGAGCATTAACCCTAGGACATTGTTCACTAAAGTGTTTTCACGTTTATAGTGAAGTAGTCTATATTAATTTATCTGAATGCAATTGTTGTAGATTAAATAATTATATTTTAGACATAAGAAATAGAATTGTAGAGTCTTTAACTTACTTTTAAATTAAAAGGAATGTATTTCTAGGTATTACTTCTAAAAGCTCTTTTTATAAATATATACAATCTTTAAGATTTTCTTAACGTAATTATGTTTTCTCCTTCTTTTAAACATTTTATAAATCCTTCATTACAATATCTTTTTACTGTCTTACTTCATTCAAAATAAAAAACAAATCTCCTTTCCAAGTTACTGTAAACAAAACCTCTGATACGCTTTAGGATTCCTCGTTGCACCATTTATGAACTGAAGGTGAATCACGATGCTTCATTCCTTAACTTACAAAAAGAATTCACTTCAATAATTTGCTGCATGGTTGGCTTTGCATGTTATTTAAGTCTCTACTGGGGCAACTTCCTTCACTAGCAACAGCAATAAGAACAACATAACAAAGATTCCTGTCCAGTGTAAACTCTTCTCCTTCCGTGAGCTCTTTCTAAAAGGAGTCTTTGAGCTAAATGCCCTGTGAGTTTGTGTTGTAGCAATGCTTCTCAACAGAGCGAGGAATCCGCCCTGTAGAAGCACACTGTTGTGTAAGTAGAAACATCTTTGTGTATTTAGCGGGCACAGGTTGAATTCTGTCCTCTAAAATTCGTATGTTGAAGTCCTAACTCCCAGGACCTCAGAATGTCACTATAAAGGGAGGTACGTTGTTTACAAAGGTAATTAAGTCAAAATGAGGTTATTGGGGTGGGCTCTGGGTCAATAACTCTAGTGTTGGTCTGAGGGGGGGAGATCGGGACACAGACAGAGAGAGGGAAGCCCATGTGGAGACACAGGGAGAAGCCAAGAGAGAGGCCACAGAAGGAACCAAACCTTTTCATACCTCAATCTTGCACCACTGGCCGCTAGAATTGTGAGAAAGTAAATGTTTGTTATTTAAGGCGCCCTGTTGATAGCGCTGTGTTACGGCAGCCTTAGTAAATAAACACAATCCTACATTTTTTAAATGTAGAGTAATAATCAAAAATTATTTTCCTGTTTTCCACTCAAGTATATTTAAATTCTTACATAGGTACTTTCAGAAGACACTCGTCAGCATTTAGTAATATGTCTTGGGATACTCTGTTGCTAATTTTTTCCTTTAGGAAATATATTTAATATTCCAATTATCTTCACTGTTTCACCGAAAATATTACACACAGCCATAGATACATGTATGACTAAACATAAATGCCTGAATACATATGTATATTCACACGTGCACATGTAGTTGTTCACACAGGTAGCCCACGCAGCATGTGACCCGGCCTGGGAGGAGAGGGCTAGAAAGCGCTGGGATGCTGAGGGGACATCTGTGGTGGACACAGGAAGGAGAGGCGCAAGACGGGACACAGAGCCACAGACAGTCCTGCCATCCGGCCAGAAGCAAACTTCCTACATCTGGGAGGTTTAGTCGATACAACCACTTTTATCCTCTTGCTCGGTGTTTACATTTTTCTGGGTGATTCTCATCTTGGAAATATTTCCAAAGAACTTAAACATCAGGAACCCCTCACGTATCTTTCTACTCCTAACTACAGGCTGTCCCAATCTCTGCTCACTGATACAGTGCAATAATTAAACTGAGTAGAATAATAAATTCATCAGTGGGATTAGTAACATGTGTTCCATATTTATTAATGTAGATTACCGTTTTTTTTCTCAAGGGAGAACTTGCGATTTTCCGGAGATAAAACATGGAAACATATACGATGAAAACAAATACAAAGAAACTTTTCCCGTTGACATGGGGAAATATTTCTACTATACCTGTGATCACAAATTTGTGTCTCCTTCACAATCACCCTGGAGTCTAATAGCCTGTACAGAGAAAGGATGGTCCCCAACTCCAAAGTGTCTCAGTGAGTAAACACCCCCATCCTTATCCAGATGAACCGTTCAGCGTAGTCAGTCAGTGGAGAGGGTGTGCCTGAAGGCACCACAGAGTCTAGACAGTCATGGTGGCAGGTACTGGGGGGACCAGCAAAGATGACATATGCCATTCCCCTTTATAAGAAGATATTTGTGGAAAGTAATTTTTAGATGTAAAATGTTTCTTATATATGCAAATAATACTTAATGATATTGCATATTAATTTTGACATGCATGGCCTTATTTTTATGAAACCAACTTTTGCACTTGTTTTCTCTTTCGAAGTATGAAAAATGTAATACTCTTTCAATGCAACATCTCTATCAGTCACCTTTTGGGTTTTAGGACAGTGCTTTTTCCCTTGGGTGGAAAATGGTCATTCTGCATCTTCAGGACAAATACACCAGGAGGGTGACTCTGTACAAATTGTCTGTGACACCGGCTACAGTCTTCCAAATAATCAGAGAGGCATCACCTGTACAGAAAGTGGCTGGTCCCTCCCTCCTAAATGCAGTCGTGTCCGTAAGTAAAACACTGTCCTCTGCGATCCCTCATTCTTCTCATCTTATGGAGAAATAACAGTATTAAATATGTGAAGTAATGCTATTTGCTACTGTCATAACCTTTTTAGTTTCAGGGGTCCAACTGTGTCTAAGTAGACATGCAAATCTTTGGATCATCCTTTAAGAATTACTTTGTCTGCTTGCATAAATTAAATGTAGGTAATGATAGAAAACACTAGCAAAAACACAGTGGAAAACTTTAAAAGACACTTCTATGTTTAAGCAGCACAAAGTTAATGTTTATAGTAAAACTGTGTAAGATCTGCTGACATAACATGATAAGTTAAATTTGTCATAGAGATAGTGAAAACATCACATTTGCAAAATCATATGGCTTAGCAAACAAGTGTACTTGGCACTTATCTTTTTTTTGGTAAATGCTAAATTTCAAAGATCAGCACAAAAGTATCAGTAATTTCCACATCGTTACAACCGCATAATTCTGAAATTTAGACTTACAGTTTGTAGTTTAAAATATGGAAAGCTCTTTCATATGAACATATTAGAAATAAGAATATATTGGTGTTGAAGTTGACTGGGAATTTCTCATATTTTTGCTTCAATGTTACTTAAATTTTACTTCAGTGAATAAGAGGCTTGGGAACCCTGGGAGTAAGATTCCTAAAGCACAGTCAAAGCTGCTCAGAACAAGCTCTGTTCTCGTCCTCAGGGTGTCTGCACGCATCACCAAATCATCTAGTCCATATTTTCTGTGCACCTTTTACACACCGAGCACTTTCGTAAGTGTTGGAAATCAATCCTCTCCAAGAGTCAGTGTCTCTTTATTCACAGGCTATATAATGTCAAGTGAGAGA